CCCCCAAGCACCTGCTCATGGACCCCCAGGGGTCCAGGGACCCCAGTTTGAGAACCACTGCTCTAAAAAACACTTTAAAATATTTATACATTAATCAGAAGATTGTATATTACCCTGGAGCACAGGTTTATGAACAGCTTTTCTTTTTGTCAAGCAGCCAAGTTTTATTTACCACAACCCTGTTTGTCCTCTCAGAAACAGCAGCCTCTCAGTTCATGGTTAACATTTATGAGAGGAAACACAAAACCCTATCTTGCTGTTAAATGTGATGCAACATCCACATGACTTGACCCAAATCATCAAATGTCTTACTTCTAACAGTGAAACCTTAACCATAAGTTTGGTATTATTAATCCTATGCTACACACGGACATTATTTCTAACCCCAACATTGTATTTTCTTTGCATGAAAATTTCTACATAGAAACTGTTGCAGGTTCTGCTGTGACATAAAATCAGCTTTTTGAAAGAATTAAAAGTGAGGTTGTTATTTTTTACTTTAGAGGAATTCTTTGTGACAGAGAAGAGCTGGTCATCTCTTCTCATTCAATTTTCTCTGGAGGAACCACTTCCATCAGCAGCTGGAGGTGCATGGTGATGGGCCCTGCAGAGAATTTGTGGTTGTTTGCATTTTATTTTTATTTGGCATATAAAGAAATCAGTTGACAAATAAACATACTTTAAGGAAAAATATTAAAAGTTGAACATACTCATGAATTTCTGAATCCAGGTTATTTTCCAATAGACAAAGGGGAAGTAAAGAAGAAGTCCACTGAAGATGAAAATAGCACAGTAAAGGTACTCCAGCTCAGGCTTGTCAGTGATCGGGGCCAAGACAAGGTAGCAAGACACCACGACCATGATAACAGCTAGGACAATGGGCACCTTTAGAGGATAAGACACAAGTACAGAAAAAAAGAATATTTGTATATTTCATGTTGAAAGATTGTGTCATGTAACAATTACTGAACTGTCTAAAGTCATTATTGATTATATATCGGGGGGAAGCTAGTTAGATTTTCCACCAATGAAAACACAACTAAAATGTTAAAACAAAATGTCTGGAATGGAATTTTGGGTCAAAGTTTATAGATGTTTTTAACTACTATAGCTGAGAATGTTAACGCTGCCCATGAACCATATGTTTGAGCTCGATGAAAGCTGAATGAGGAGCTGGGTGAGGCAGCTGCATGCAGCTGTCACTCCAAGGTCACCTCTGAGTCTGTGAGCTCGGCTGAACTGATAAGGTATAAAAACAAACTTCACACAATGCTCGTGGCAGATTCTTGTGACTGCTCTTCATGCGTGTACTTCTTGTATATCTGTGTAGCCTGTCCTGAAAATCTGTTCTTGCAAGTAAATCCGGTAAAAAAA